TATTCTTCTTCTTTGTTCTCCTGAAAAAGAATAGTCAACTATTCGAAAGCGCTCGAGTTTTGGGTCTTATTTTAAGGTATCAAATAGTTTTAATAGGCTTTAATCAAATAGGCTTTCAAATAGTTGACTATTCTTCTTCTTTGTTCTCCTGAAAAAGAATAGTCAACTATTCGAAAGCGCTCGAGTTTTGGGTCTTATTTTATGTCTATTGCACTTTATATGTGATCATTTGTGCTAACTCTTTTATCAAAAAAAAAAAAAGACTAGATACCTGGGATTAGATTAAGATTTAAAAATGTTTTTCCTTTGATATATAAAAAAACAAGTTTAAGAGTTGGCTAAAATATTTTGAAAAGAGTTTCATTCACAATTGAATTACACCATATTATTAACAATGTATATCAATAAACATGGACTCAAAACATAGTTATAAATCAAATTTTATTATAAGTTTTAATTTGTTAATATCAAAAGGAAATATGTAAATAAATTCTTAGGCTTCACTTGTTTGCTCTGAATTACTTCGTTTGGATTGACATATATCTTATAGATATTACTAAGCCTTCAGTCTTCTTGGTTTATGGAGATTTAATCAGAAAGGAATATTTATCAACAGTAAAAGAGGTAAGGCTTACCCACTCGTTCTGATGACACTATTTTAATTATTCAGCATACAGCTTCATTGTTGCTATTGCATAGTGTACAGCGAACATGTAAGTGAATTATTTGAACACATTTATAGCTTTGTTAGAAAGCCATATAAATTGTAATAGTTATAAGATTTGGTGTCCTTTGTGCATGTTATTATTTTGTGTTCTAAGTTACACATTTTAAATAATCATTTTATGTACTAATATGTTGTTATAAATAATTAGGGCTAAGTTTCATTGTGGCTGACATAAAAAAAAGAAATTAGAGGCCAGAGATGAATACTTAATTCCTTGTTTTTAAAAGTTTATATTTTTTGTTATAAAAACAACTAAATTTTATAACTTAGAAACTTAATAGGGTAGGTGAGATAATTTAAGTGAAAAAATAAAAAGAATTTCTCAGCATGTGAGGTGCTTGTGATTTACATAACTTGAACTAGATACCTGCTGAGTGATTAAGTTTTTTTATGCAAGTTTAGTAGCTAGACACAGTTCAAAGAGAGAAATAAGGAAATATTTCTTCTCTAATCTAATTACCACTCCTCTGAGAAATATGAAAGTTAAATTACTCAGTATAACATAGATATTACTCCAGGTAAAGCATAATTTTTAAAGCTTCCAATCTTCTTTGTTTACAGAGCCACAAGCTAGAAAATCAGACCCACTTCCCACACCCACCTGTTACATTTTCTCTTTTACAAATTGCCAATAGTTCTCTCTCTGATGTTTTATACTATATTATTTATAACCAATAGAAAGCCAGAGTTTTAATTTATCAAATGACATATTATATTATGTTGTTTTCTGTACAGTCAGTTCTCTATTTTGCCTCCAAGTGGAAAGTTTTTACATGTGAATTGCATTGACAAGCTTAACTGAATTTTTAAAGACTCTTATTGCATAGTTAGAAAGCCAGAAAAATTATGTTAGTTATAGGACAATGTTTGCTTTGGGTATGTTATTATTTTATGTTCTTAGGTGCATTATTTAATTAAATAAAAATTATTTAGTATAATGGAACCATTAGTATAAAAAAAGTAGACTTAAGTTTCATTGACAGTTGACAGCAAAACAGCAAGAGGACCCAGGTAGATACTATATTTATTTTTCATGTGTATTCTTTATTTATTGTTCACTGAATGAATTACAGCTTGTGTAGTGGGATTATTAGTTAGACATGGTTCAAAGGACAATAAAAAAAAAGTACAAACAATTGTATACTGTTACGAACTTTAAGCTATTTAGGATAAACAGTTGGGGTTTTCTGTTACAATTTGCAGTCATCGTAGAAAAAAAGAGGGTAATTTTGATTTATTTTCTAATTGTTAATGGTGGTTATGAGGTCAATCAAATTGATTGATCCTGTTTAGAGTCAGGGTAGAGAAAATAACAGATAATATATAAAGTTTTTTTTAAAAAAGTGATATTTATTTAGAGATTATGTAAATGAAATTTAAATTTTCAAATGAAGAAAAGTATTTTTCATATTAATATGAAAATCACTTTGTACTTGGAGCAGTCAGCAATCTGACTCCATCTATTCATGGACAAACTTTTAGTATAAATACTTCATAAAAATTCTGATTTTTTTGTTTACAAAAGATGTGAAAAATTTTGTTAATACACACAAACCATATTAAAAGTTAAATTATGGAAACTCTGATGGTCACTTTGGGGTCATGAGTTGAGTGTAATCCATTGAGTCTGTAGTGAGAGGGTTAATGAAAAAATACTTTCTAGAAAGAAAAAAAGGGTAGTTTATATTTATTTTGTATATTTTTGTGTCATAGTGGTAACAAGGTTGGTCAGATATGGTTAGTGTTAACATAGAGAAAATAACACATAAAATATAAAGGTTTACTGGATATTTATTTAGATGAAAAAGTTTCTTTTCTTAACATGAAAATGACCTTGCACTCAGGCTTGTCACAGTCAGACTGACAAAAGTAAATTCAGAGAAAAATATTTCATAGAGATGCTTTAATGTTTATGAAAAATCTTACCAACTTTTGTAAAGGTACACAAAGTAAGTTCAGAATTATAATAAGCATTAATTCTCCAATTTGGGCCCATTCTTGTGTACGTAGAGTTTTAAACTGTACATTATTGTGTGATTATTCTAATACTTTTTGCTTTATTTCTTTTGAAATTTTAAAAAGATGATGCATGTGGGTTGATAGAGGGTTGTGTTATAACTTATAACAATAATGTAATGTTGGTGTCCAACACCTATGCAACACAACTGGTGGAGGCTGATGTTTATTGCTGGCTATAAGAGTGTTCTTAATATTATGTTTTTTATCATTAGTTCGTCATTATTTTCTTTTTTTAACATTGCAACTATCTTTGATTCAGAACTAAAAGTAGATTATTGTTTTTTCGTGTTAGATAGAGGTTACCAATCAAAACTGTTTATGGTTGAGAGTGAAATAGTTATTTTTTATAACAAATATATTTTGAGGATATTATTTTGGATCTTTATGCCATTTCTCTAAGTGATTCATTTATACAAATCATTGGCATGCTTCAGAAGTGTTGTAGTTTTTTATGGAAATTTTAAATATCTATTTATTTTGATCTGTGATGGATAAAAAAAAACATTCAGAATATTTTATTCAACCTGCATTTTTATTTTTTAATTACATGTAGAGCGAGATACCTGAAGGAACTGTACTTGTTGAAGTTGAGGAAGACATGAGAGAAGAACCCGAATTTGAGGAAACCAATGGTAGCAAAGTACAATCCCCTATTGGTCAGAAAGGTAAAGTTTGTTCAAAAGTATTTATTATATTTTTTGGTTAAAACAGTTGAAAAGCATGAAATAAAATACAATTTTGTACAGGATGTAGAACTTATAGAAGCCAATATTTAATAAAGACTAAATAGTCAACAAAGACTTGCAAGTTAATTATACTGATTTTAAGAAAAACACCATCATATTGTGTAACTCCACATTCACTGGGTGGATCCCTTGAACTAAGCCTATAATGAAAAATTTCTAGTTACTAAAATTCCAAATTTGTTATGCGTATCTTCATGAAATTTGTTGAGCTTTTAGTGAACATTACAAGTCTGTTGTAAACAAAAAATCATATTTTTTATTATATTATTTGTAATAAAAATTTGTCTGTGAATTTATAAAGCCTTTAATGAGGCAACTTGAATTCCAGGTGAATTTCATACTAACAATAAAAATAACTTTTTTTTATCCAACAATTTTTATATTTCATATGCATGACCTTTAGAACCTACTAAGTGAATATCAAGATTTTTTTTTCCAGTAAAATGTTAAATTTTATCGGTTATTTTTTCTATTTTCTCCACTCTGAAACTAACTGTAGCTAAGTTAGCAATGTAGGGTAAAATGAAAAGTTGAAAAACATGAAATAAATATATATTAACCCTTTTTTTATTTGTAGAATATTGTAATAGATTATCAACCATTATTTATTATTAAAGTCAAAGCTGAGTTAATTTAGTTTTATTGCTCTATAGCTGCATTTAGAGCCAGGCCTTCTCACAGTACAACAAAAGCCATTCATCACAATGGAACAGCTTTCTGTAAACATAGGATCAAGTTACCAGCAGGCATGTTGAATTACACAGGCATGCCTCATGACATTCTGATGCTTTCATGATTAACTTTTTCTTCAAGTTTTCTTATCTAACCTCATATGTTTCTTATTTTGATAACAATAGATAAAAAATATACACCAAAACAAGAAATTTAATACTTATCCTCGTTTCTTAGGATTTCTAGTTGGAAATCGTGACTACTGTAATTGGTAAAATAAAGTATCAGAATAAATATGTTAATAAACATCAGTTAACTTAATATTAACTGGACATTGGAACTTTGTGATTGACGATACAAAACAATGAAGGGAAATATTTCTAATGTTCATTTGAATAGGTGATTCACAAAAAGAGTTTGTAAGTTTCACTACATTGAGAATTATAGAAAAAGTAAATCAAATCATATGAATCTTTATAAGCCAAAACTACATGTTATTTAGTAAGTTTATATTAAGCTTCATGCAACTTTGTTAAGTATTTCAACTGGGAAAAGGAAACGCTCGAGGGATTTCCAGAAAAGTTTTTGAACCAAATTTTGTGAGATAGGTTAAAAATGTTTTTTTTCCTCCAAGAAATAGAAGTTATTAGGCCAGACATACTAAAAAAAAAAATCTTGACTAATTGTAATCTCAATATTTGTTGTGATTTTTTCATATATGTATGTTATACACAATAAACAATGAAGATTAGTACTTATAATACTAATTAAGTCTTTACTGTCCATTACTTTAATCTTTAAATACATTTAAGAGAAAAAGTTAGAACAGGATTTTATTCAAGAATTTGTTGCCAACCACTGAATATACATGTATTTTAGTTTTGAAGTGGAATAAAAGTCAGGCTTTATTGTAGATTTTAATTTTGGGCTATAATTTGATTTTCTTTTTGGGAAACTGCATTTCTCTATTTTTAAAGCTTTAGTAAAGGAGTTTTTTTATTTTGTGTATTTTGTTGCTGTATGAGAAATAGTGTTAAACAGTTTTTAATTTGTGTTTTGCTTATTTCATATAGTTCTCTGCATTCGAATACCTCCTAGTTACACTAAGCCTTCCAGCTCATGTCCAACACTCAAGCCCGTTGACACTGGTGCGCCTGTCATTGAAACACAAGATAAGGGAGATTTAAAGAATGGTGTGGGTGTGCTTTTAGGTTCTGATGATTCTTTTGACAAAAACATCACTAATAATGAAAGGACTACAAATGTAACTGAAAAAACTAAAGTTGTGAATGGAGATTTTGAAAATTATCTAGAACCACAGGAAAATTTAGTGTCAAAGGATGAAAATGAGTCAGACTTGGGTTTAAGTACCTCTATTCAGTCGCCATTGTCATCACTTATTGGAAGTCCCAGTCAGGGAAAGGTAAAGTTGGTTAATTTGATGAAGAATAATCAACTTTTAAGAAATATAGTTTGGAGATGGCTTGAATGGGTAATGAAAAAAACTTTATCACAAGTAACAAATTTTGACAAACTTTTTTCATCATCAGAACAAAAGCTTGTTGAAACATTGTACATTAGTACTTGTAATAATGTTTCTGCATTAACCATTCAAGCTGTCTCCAAACTTTAAATATGATTAATGCATTACAGTTGCTCAAATACAGGATATTTAAGTCTCTCTTCAGATAAAATGGTTTATTAAATAATTTTTGGTTTTATGGAATTATTTTTCAGTGTTACTTATTCTATTTAGATAAGTCCGATATCATAAATCATCGGTAAAATAAAGTAACTTTTTATGTATTTTAGTCATTTAACAGCTCCAAAGGACAGAGCTTTTTACAAAATTTATTACATCTTCTCCTTTTCATTTTCAGTTTAGATGTTGAAGAGAGTAAGATCTAATGAGTTTTGTGATTTAGGTAACTTTTAATATAAATTACTGAGGGGTTACTCATGCTTTAAAATCACACAAGAAACCTAGTAAGTGGACTTTCCTCTGTCAAGCAAATGACAACTTTTGGATTTCTGGATTTATTTTATGTTCATCTTGCTTTAGAACTTCATTACTTACACTGTGTAATAACAATTCTCTACTACCATTAGATTGTATGTTCTAAGTCTAATGGCCATTGTTATGTACTGTTTCCTGATATGTCAATTTCCATTGTAGAAGCTTCTACAAAGGTTATCAGGGTTCATCTTCTACCACACACCTTGACAGACTTTCCACAGATCTTCCACTGTGCATGGGTGTTGCTTCCAAGACCATGTTTCAATAAAATAAGATCGTAAAAGTCTAATGAAATTGTTTAAGGGTACTTAAATACTTCAGCCATAGCCTTCATGTTGTGAATAAGATGTTGCCCAGATTTGACTTAAGGTATGGTTTGGACACCTGTTAGTGTACTAAACACTGCGGCATATTTTCACTTCCATGGGGAACAGTTCTATTATATGATTATTTTTTCTCAAAAAAATCTGTGACGTACTTATCCAGACATAAGTGTACCTGTAGCAGTATTGCACTATGAAACGTTTGGGATATTGCAGTTATCCCTTTTATAATACTTGAAGGATTGTTGTGGTGTAATAACTTTAAAATTGAATATATCTACGTATTAAAAAATTCTGCATATAATTGTAATATAGTTTCATTGAGTGTCATACTGTTTTATCTAACAAATGAAGAATTTGTTTCCATTTTACAGCAGTTATAGGCAATTTCCTTATTGTAAAATTATTTGAATTAGTTTTTATAAAGGATATTTTATTGCTACATATGTTGCAGATTTTGTGAAGTATTATTGTCTGCCTTCTTTTTTAATTATAAAAAACTTGTGCAGTTTCCATTTTTTTAGCTGTCAGTTCCTCTGTGATGCAATTTTTTTAGTTGTCAGTTCCTCTGTGATGCAGTTTTTTTAGCTGTCAGTTCCTCTGTGATGCAAGTTTTTAGCTGTCAGTTCCTCTGTGATGCAGTTTTTAGCTGTCAGTTCCTATGTGATGCAGTTTTTTAGCTGTCAGTTCCTCTGTGATACAGTTTTTAGCTGTCAGTTCCTTGCTGATGCAATTTTTTTAGCTGTCAGTTCCTCTGGGATGCAGTGTTGGTTGTTTCGATTTCAGTGCAGGTCTGAAAGAGCTTGTAGATAAATTAACTTATAAATAATTTTATTATTGTTTTCTGAAGGGCTTGATGAATTTGCTCTTCCTGACTCAGTCCTATTAATCCTTTTGCTGCAACTGGGATGTATATTTCTCAGTGCACCAGGAAATACATGTCCCAGCTACAGTGAAAGGATTAACTTTTGTATGACAAACAACAACTATCAGAAGCCATTAAGGTTATTTACCAAAACAGAAGACACAACTATTTGATAATACTAAGAATGCTTTTAGACTACATATAACCATTTGTTCCAGTGATTTTTAGTCTACTTATTACTGTTACACCTGTGTATACCTTTTCATGCCAATGCTTTTAGTTTACACCATAGTTAGTTATTATCACACCTGTGTAAACCCTTTCATTTTAATGCTTTGTAGTTTTTATTGATGCACCTACATATATCTTTTCATTCTGTTGCTTTTTTGTCTACACTGTAATTATTGTTACATCTGGGTATACCCATTCATTCTGATGCTTTATCTACAATATAGTTGTTGTTGTTGTTGTTCTACCTATACTCTACCTTTCACTGTATTGCTTTTAGTCTACACTGTAGTTGTTGTTGTTGTTGAACATATACTCTTTCATTGTGGTGCTTTTAGTCTACACTGTAGTTATTATTGTTGAACATATACAGTGTAGACTAAAAGCACCACAATGAAACAGTAGTTATTATTGTTGAACATATACTGTTTCATTGTGGTGCTTTTAGACTACACTTTTGCTATTATTGTTGTACCAACATATAACCTTTTATTGTAGTACTTTAAGTCTACACTGTAGTTATTGTTAGTGTACTTAGCTGTACCATTAGTTATTATTGTTGAACATATACTGTTTCATTGTGGTGCTTTTAGACTACACTTTTGCTATTATTGTTGTACCAACATATAACCTTTTATTGTAGTACTTTAAGTCTACACTGTAGTTATTGTTAGTGTACTTAGCTGTACCATTTAAATTGAGTGTTTTTTGTGTACTTAGTAAATGTTATTGTAACATTTGTGTATACCATTTTATTCCAATGTTTTGTCTATGCTGTATTTATTACTGTTGTATTAATTATTAACTTTTATTCAGATGTGTTTATTCTGTACTTTAGATCTTATTCTTGTACCTACGCAAACCTTTTCCTTCTGATGCTTTTCGTCTACATCATAGTTATTATTGCTTCTTCATATACCTTTTCATTCCAGTGCTTTTAGTTTATACTGAATTACTGATTTGGTCCATATGGACTTGTATCGATATTTTAAACAAATTTTTATTATTTATCAATTTCTCCACTTGTTTATGGGTCAGTTAAATTTTTGGTTACAGAATATGTAATAGCATATTAGTTTCACCAGATTAGTGAAACAAAAGTATTGTAAATATTATAATTAATTCCACTAATTACTGCTAGTAGTCCTATGCAGTTTAATATTAAAAACAAAGAGTGACTTAACCCAAATTTGAGGGTTCAAGCACAGATAATACAGTCTTTAATTCTCTTTTTTGAAATCACTCTTATCGGGTGTACTGAGAATAATCTGAACTACTTGGTGCTCTATAATAAATTAGGCCTAATTTCATTATGCATAATCAAACATTGTAGTTTCCATTAAGTGGTTTTACAAAACAATCCTGGACTAGTAGATGGTGTTATGATTTAAAAAAAAAGATCTAAGTTGGCGTGACAAGCTTAAAATGTTTTTCTGTAAAACTCTAATTATACTTAAGAGATTTATTAAGTTACATGAAAGCTAATAACTGATAATCCTACAAGTCTACCAATGTTAGCTAAGTCATTTAACTTAGTGTATACGTATCACTCTTTACTATAATAACTGATAATTCTACACGTCTACTAATATTAGCTAAAAGTCATTTAACTTAGTGTATACATATCACTCTTTACAATAATAACTGATAATCCTACAAGTCTACTAATGTTAGCTAAGTCATTTAACTTAGTGTATACGTATCACTTTTTACTATAATAACTGATAATCCTACACGTCTACTAATGTTAGCTAAAAGTCATTTAAATTAGTGTATACCTATCACTCTTTACAATAATAACTGATAATCCTACAAGTCTACTAATGTTAGCTAAAAGTCATTTAACTTAGTGTATACCTATCACTCTTTACTATAATAACTGATAATCCTACAAGTCTACGCGATGTTGGCTAAGTCATTTAACTTAGTGTATACATATCACTCTTTACAATAATAACTGATAATCCTACAAGTCTACTCAATGTTGACTAAGTCATTTAACTTAATGTATACATATCACTCTTTACAATAATAACTGATAATACTACAAGTCTACTAATGTTGACCAAGTCATTTAACTTAGTGTATACGTATCACTCTTTACTATAATAACTGATAATCCTACAAGTCTACTAATGTTGACCAAGTCATTTAACTTAGTGTATACGTATCACTCTTTACTATAATAACTGATAATCCTACAAGTCTACTCAATGTTGACTAAGTCATTTAACTTAATGTATACATATCACTCTTTACTATAATAACTGATAATCCTACAAGTCTACTAATGTTGACCAAGTCATTTAACTTAATGTATACATTACAGTCTTTACTATAATAACTGATAATCCTACAAGTCTACGCAATGTTGGCTAAGTCATTTAACTTAGTGTATACATATCACTCTTTACAATAATAACTGATAATACTACAAGTCTACTCAATGTTGACTAAGTCATTTAACTTAGTGTATACATTACACTCTTTACTATTTTGTTTTTGTTCTAACTGAAAAATGTTTAAGATAATGGTTCAAGAGTAAAATTTATTTAATTGGTAATAAAGCTGACCAGGTTTTTGAACCATAGGGTACTAATGGAAAAACTGTTGATTTAGATAACTGGCATGCATATGCGTGCTTTTAACAATAATTAAATGTGACATATCATTGTTCTAATTATTACCTCAGTTATTTCAAAAGTATAAAAAAAATCTTCCTGTAGATTTCTCAGAGTCATAGCCAGCGAGCTATAAAGCATGCTCTACGCCAGCAACAAAAGAGGAGGAAAAGAAACACTACAGTTGCGTCTAGTTGTAGTCCTACCCCATCAATTTCTCATATTGTCATGAAACATCTTTCCCCTCTACCAGGATCTTTAGTAGGTCTGTATGTCAAGGATTATACAGCAATCATAGAGAGCTGTGTATTTTAATATCTAGTTTTGTCTAATGTGATAGATTATGTTATGTATAGATGATAATAATAGGTAGGCAAACAACGATTTATAAACACAAGGAAAAGTTTTATTGATTGTGGAACATACATGTTTCGACTGAACATTGGTCTGGTTTCTTCAGGTATGATCAGTACTAGGCAATCTAAATTTTATATATTGTTACAAAGAGAATAGAGATTAAATGTGATGGAAATGGTGTCAGCAGGTGACAGAATACAGGTTGAGGTGAAGTTTGGTCAAGTGTATGAAGGGTGAATAGACCTTTCCGAATATGGCTGATCTTGCTGGGGTCATTATCATGGTTCAGTGAGAGGTCATTTGCTTTGATGATTTAGATAGTTTGTAAACAGTCTCTTTTTTTTTAGTTTTAGGTTGCTGTAGGAGAAGAATTTCATCACAAAGTATTTGTGATCTGTTTCTTGTTAATGATATGTTAAGGCGGATAAGTGAAAATCACATCTACACATGCGACTTTAATGTTTTTTGCATCTTGTTTCTAAGGAATGTGATGCTTGTCCTATGTATTTCTCTCCACATTTACAGGGGATACTGTATATGCCCTGTTTTTGTTCATTTAATAGGGATTATTTCAGGTTAGGTAGTAAGACATTAATTTTATTTGAGGGTTTGAATACAGCTTTTACATCAATGCTCAAATTATCAAAAAATTCTAGTAATTTTGTTAGTAATTTCTGGCTCAAAAGGGAATGAAACAAATTTGTTGTGTTTTGTGTTGTTGATAGGTGGAAGGTTCACTGAAGTTTGATATAAGTCCTATCTATGATATCAAGGTTAAAAAAGTGCTATGTAGGTAAAGTAGGAGGATATTTTTCTGTGACTGGTGGTGGTTAGATCTTATGTGTGGTGGCATGGTGACAGAATGGAGTTTCCAGTATATACTGGTGGTAACTTTGTTATTTTATCTTTTTACATTCACATCTAAAAAAGGGAAGACAACTGTTGGATTCTGTTTCATGTGTAGAAATTATGACATTGGGTCTTAATGTGTTTAAGAATTCATTGAAATTGAGTAGCATCTCTTTCCCATGTCGACATATACTGAAGATATAGTCTACATATCTTAACCAGATTTGTGATTTCTTGGTGTGTATGAATTTAGAAAGTGTAAGGCTTGTTCAACAGGTATTGAAATAAATAAAGATTTTATGTCAAAAGATACTACTATATATTTTTGGTTTAGTTTGAAGTTTTTGATTCTGTTGACAAAATCTAAAGTTTTTTTTAGAGAATAGAGGGTTGGTTTCAAGTAGAGGGTTAAACATGTAGTATGTTCTACCATCGATAAAATTATTTCTTATTCTTACAAATTGTTTAACTACCTGTTATTATATTAGCTTAATGTGCCTTCTTACTCAAGTATCTAGATGGTAATGTTATTTTCAATGCTTCTTGTGTTTTTAGGATAGATGAAATTGTGTTAGCAGTTGTTTTTTTGCAGAATACAAAATCAACATTCACAGTATTTTATGGTGATATATAAAACAGGATAGATACTATTTTTTTGTCACTTTGGTTTCAACAGTTGTTTTTTAGTAACTTCTACTGTTGCTGAATTTGTGTGTGTGTGTGTTTAGAACTACTGAAGAGGAGAATAGTACTTTCAAACATGATATGGATAACTGTTCACGAGTAGTAGGTTCTCTCTTAATTAGCCAGTTGTTTTCTGTACGTTAACTCTCATTCTTAACATTGACAGTTATAAACAGGTTATTTTTTTGTTTTATTTTCTCTCAAGACATGCTGGGTTGCAAATGTTTGTAGTTACCACATTTATTGATAATGATGATGAAGCTATCTTGAATTTTATGTGCCTGATTGCACATTGATGGTTCATTTCATCAACCCTCTCACCATGTGGAGATCAAAGTACACATAGTATGACTTTTTAAAGAGTTACATTCAGTGTGACTTTTTAAAGAGTTACATTCAGTATGACTTTTTAAAGAGTTACATTCAAAATTTAATTAAATTACTTTATTATCAATGTATAGGAGTACATTTGGCATCAACAAGTAGTTAATAACTCAAATTTTAATATTATATAAGTTCTGAATTTTATAGGGAAATATTTAGAATAATCCTTGATCTTCCCTAATATAAGAATTGTAACATTTGCACTCTAGGTCTTCCCTCTTCTTTAATTTATTACCACCCCTCTCACACCCATCTGTCACATCCTCTCTTTCACAAATTGCCAATAGTTCTCTCTGACGTTATATATTATTTATAACCAATAGAAAGCCAAAGTTTTAATCTATCAAATGATATATTTTGTTGTTTTCTTTACAGTGAATTGTCTATTTCACCTCTAGTTTGAACGTTTTTTTCATGGGAATTGCATGAAAATGGTGCATTATTTAATTAAATAAAAATTATTTAGTGTAGTGGTACCATCAGTATAAAAAAATAGGTTTAAGTGTCATGGACAGTTGACAACAAAACAGCAAGAGGACCCAGATAAGTATTATGTTTCTTGTTTTTCATGTGTATTCTTTATTACTTAGACATGGCTTAACCCTACCGAGATAGGTCTTCCTATGGTCACAGGTCAAAGGCCATGTCATGACATTTGTGGAATGACATTCAAAATTTTATTGAACTACTATTTTATGAATGTATATTAGTAAATTTGGTATCAAATTGTAGATTATAATTCAAATTTTAGTATTATTCATCAGTTAATTTCTTAATTTAAAAGTAAATATTAAAAAAACAACCTAAATATCAATTTTTGTGTTTCACGTGGTATGTTGAATACTGAATTGGTTCAGATTAGATGTTTATGATGTCCAAATTCAAAATCTATAGTTTCCTACAAATTACAAATTCAAATTACCAATATTAACAAGCTAGAATTATAAAATAAGAGCCTCCTATCTTTTCTATTTGCTGAGATATCGCTACATTTAGTGAATCAAACACAGTGGCCCCACCCACCTCTTTCCATTTTTGGAAGTGCTTATGTACACCTACTTCTGTCTTTGATGTGTGAATAAGCAGTCAAAAGCTCAGAATGTCCCCCATGTGGTTTTCTGAGCCTACGCAAAGTATTTACGCGGGAAACCCTTTCTTTTCATGGTAGATTCCAAGTGGTAAGGTAAGACATTATTGAGCTCGAAAAATCTTATTTTTTAGAACCAAATACAGCTTAGTTACTGAGCCTGATAAAGTATAGTGGAATTCTGTGGTATTGATATAGTAATTTATGGTTTTTGTTATTTCAAAATGCATAGATAAAACCTAAAAAAATTATTTTGTTTTACATTTTTCCATCTACGAAATTTCATAAGGCTTAGTAAATTATGGCAAGCAGCAAACAAGTACAAAGTTCGTATCTAGAAGAGATAATCGTTTTCTATACTTCTTTGTTTATTGTTCCATGTTTTAAGAAAAATAATTGAAATTTAAGAACTTATTAGTAAATAGTAATAATGTGTATACTTATATAATGTATTA